CTTGATCTCCAAGAAATAACAAAAGCTCTAAAAGGTTGTGTTGTGGTGTTTGGTGAATTTTGATTTGATATTTTTCATGTAATTGCTCAAATCAAATATGGGTTTGAATGAGAGAATCAAAGTGTATAAGAGTTTTCTTCAATTTCAATACCTTGAGAGTACAATCACTAATCGGGGCGATTTTTCTCATATATGTGTATTTGGATATTTTTGGTCGGGTTGAGATGTTGAAAAATGGAAAATAGGGTTTTATGGGTAACACTATTGCTCAAGTGAAAAGCGAGCGACGTTGTTTCACTCGAGCGAAGTGGGGGCAAGAAGCGAGCGACGACCATATGTTTTTGTCGCTCGAGCTACCACTTGGCAAGCAGCTAGCGAAACTTTGATGACACATCTTGCCCTACTTCAAAGCTCGAACCCTAGCACACTTTGCCCAAATTACAACTAAGTCCCTCATCTTTCACACATGTACACAATGACCCCTAACCTTTAATAATTGACAAATGGACCCCAAACTTTTGAACATTTACAATTTTACTCTTTTGTTCACAGAATAGCCAACACAAAATCTAACAAACTCCCCCTTTGACATTCTGTGACAAAACCAAATTACAGCAACATAAACTACAATGACAATCCAATACACTAACTCAACTCACTGTTGCCTTGTCATCTTTCAACCTGTCTCCTGAAATCACAACTCACATACCCAGTGTAAAGGCACGAGAAACAGAAATATAAGTAAACATAAAAGATAAAAAGTCATGAACAGCCATAACATTGTACCAATATGCTAGATTAAGAGATAATATCAATGTAAGTCAAACCACCAAAAATGTACATCAATAGTGCAAAACATCAATAGATAATCCAGCTAAAAATATCAATAGTACATTTTCAAAGTACTTTATCATTATAAATCCCAAAAATTAACAACCACTCCCCCTTTTTGCCACAAATGGCAAGGGGAACTCCAAGCAACTAAGTAGGACCATCATCTTCACCATCCACGTCCTCAAAATCCTCAACGTCAGACTCATAATCACAGTGCTCGTGCATCCACCGAATACCGCGCTGAACAAGAGCAATAGCCCCTCGCAATGTAGCAAACTCCACAATATAACGCTTAGAAGCAGCTCGTAACTGAGTAATGTCAGCCATCATGCGGGCCTGCTGCTCAATGAGAATCGACATTTGACCTATAAGTGCGATAGTGGAGTCAACAGGAACAGTAGAGGAAATGAACTGAGAACGGCTAAACGAACCCGATCCACTACCAGGCTGAGTTGTGGTCCTAGCCCTCTTGGGTGCCATCTTCAATGCGAGATGTAGAAGATAAATCAATCCGCAAGGAAAATGACGTGATGGAGACACATGACCATACAAGCCCTAGTGCAATCACGCACAAGCCCGAGGACTATGACCAAGATAGAAGTGACGTGAACTAGACATAAACAAGATCAAGATGAGATTTTGACACACATAAAAACTTCCAATATCTATTAATAATTGATGAGTCATATTTCAAACAACCCTCCAAACGTAGTACATGCAATAACGGAGAAGTGTAAGCACCGATTTGGTAGGTGATTGGTGTGAAGTTTGATCACTTAATAGGAGAAGTGTGCACATCACATTATTGGAAATAAGATCAAATAAATAATTAACTCACATTTTTAGTACCTAAGACACCAATCACATGTGAGGAATGGCACACAATGGGCAAGAGAAGCAAGGTTATGGTGAGGAGACATTTCATCGAACACAATGTAGGCACAAGAAAGATAAGCTACAAATGCAATAATGCAATAGACACCCAATAAACCATAACAACATCATCTACCCAGCATACCAAAAAAAAAAAAACCTAAGCCTAAAGTAACTAAATGGCAAAGAGAAAAACAAAAAAACAACCAACAAACCAATGGGAAATTAAATCACTTACCAAATGGGAGGAATGAATCACCAAGGAATGCACACAAGGAAGAGGAATGGAAGCTCCACACGTAAGAGAGCAAGGGAAAATCGACCAAAGAGTGTCGATTTGAGAGAGAATGCGAGAAAGAGATGGGAAGAAATGAAAAAAAAAATGAACTGGAACCGTCGCGAGAAAATTAAAAGTCTCACTGTCACTCAAGATAACAGCAAGCGACAAAAGCATTGCTTCTGTCGCTCGAATGAGCTCCCAGAGACGGGAAAATGACAAAAATAGCACCTAAACTTGAAAATTTGAAAAGTTAGGCCCAGGTTTAAAACTTTGCAAAGTAACAGCACTTTAAAAATTTTCAAAAATAGCACATTTTTCAGAAATTTGAATTTAGACCCCTATATATTTTTTTTGTATTTAAATTTAAAATACACGAACAATGTAGAGGCAGTTGGTCCAATCAAAGGCAATAGATCACAAATACGGCATGCACAGGATTAGAAAATGTTTTCCCACACACCGGGACCAAATACAGATGGAGTAAATTGTATATGTAACCCCTTGTGAAATGTGTCACTCATTCCAAGCAAGTAAGACTCAAAACCTTAAATTTGTGAGAAGAGACAGCCAAATCACAGACGTAGGAGTCAACACTTAGATGTTTGAAGGTCAAATCCAATGCCACTAGGACCTATACTTCATTAAAATATGGTGTAAAACTGTTCTTTCTTCCCCTGTCATTAAGGACCTCAAAATGTGTTTTTTTTCGTTATCTTACGTGTAATTCCATCTCCATTAAGCTACTAAGAAGACCCCTTCAACGAGCATTGGGTCGGTGACTCTTAAACCAGTTGGCTTTAGGGCACCAGGTTATGAGAAACACCTCAAAATTAATTGCTCGAGTCATCTAAGCTCCCAAGATAGGTATAAGATGTGATATAATAAATACTCCGTGGAAACACTCGGGGGTACACCAGAAGTTAGGTCATCTAGTCCAAGATCAATTCAAATCCAATGTCTACTCAACGACAGATGATAGTCATCACAAGTCTCACACATGTGGTCAAGACTCACTCACATGGTCCTAGTGTGTGTTGTGCAAATATAATATGAAGTGACATATACTAAGTACTCCATACAGACTTAGGATAAGTGATGGGAATTAGAAACTAATCATGTCTAGAATGCACATTTGATTTCAAATTGCAACTCCGATGGAACAACTACAATGCAAAAAAGACATGTGATGATCAATCCCCCCCTTTTTATTATTATTATTTTATTTTTATTGTTTTTTATTTTATTTTTTTGTTTATTTATAAAAAAAAGAAAGACAGATGCAAATGAACACACATAGGTAATGTAATAAATGCAAAAAAGAATGCACATGCATCTATGAAGATGATCAGGGAGGAACACAGATGCCAACAGCCTTCCTAAGTGACTCGAATCGAAAACCATCTAGAGGTTTAGTGAACAGATCGACAAGTTGATTTTCAGTAAAGATGTGTTCAAGAGATAGCACATTGGACTCAACTAGCTCTTGAATAAAGTGATAGCGAATGTAAATGTGTTTGGTCCTAGAATGCTGGACCGGATTTTTTGATATCTTGATAGCACTAGTATTGTCATAGAAAACAGTCATAGTACCCTGATTTGTCACATAGTCACTCAGCATTTGTTTTATCGAAAGCAGCTGAGTGCAACAGCTACCAGCTACAATGTATTATGTCTCGGCTGTGGACAAGGAGACTGAGTTTTGTTTCTTACTTATCCATGAGACAAGATTAGAACCAACATAGAAACATCCACCCGATGTACTTTTTCTATCGTCAGCATTTTCGGCCCAATCGGTATCAGAATAGCCGGCTAGTTCTAGATTGGACTATCTGGAAAACAAGATCATATGATCTACTATCCCATTGACATATCTAATAATGTGCCTCATTGCACTTAGATGGGACTCCTTAGGATCAGCTTGAAATCTAGCACATATGCCAACACTAAACACTATGTCAGGTCTACTGGCTGTAAGATATAGTAAACTGCCTATCATGCTCCTATACACAGTCTGATCAACACTCTTACTTGTAGGATAATGTCCTAACTTAACATTTGTGCTCATAGGTGTCCTTGTGTGTTTCTTACTATCCAAGCCAAATCTCTTCACAAGGTCTTTAGCATATTTTGATTGAGAGATAAATAGCCCAAAATCAGTTTGCTTTACTTGAAGATCAAGGAAGTAACTTAGCTCCCCAACCATGCTCATTTCAAATTTTTGTTTCATGCATTCAGCAAATTCAAGAGCAAAGGAGTCAATGGGAGAGCCAAATATGATGTCATCGACATAGATCTGAGCGACAGTGATGGTTTCTTCAATATGTCTAATGAATAAAGTTCTGTCAGTACCACCTTGTGAGAACCCATGCTCAATGAGGTAAGTGGTAAGTCTGTCATACCAAGCTCTAGGAGCTTGTTTCAGACCATACAGTGCTTTATTTAGTTTGTAGACATCATGAGGAAACTTAGGGTGAATGAATCCTTTCGGCTGTTCAACATACGCCTCTTTTTAGAGTATTCCATTCAAGAATGCACTCTTGACATCCATTTGATATAGCTTGAATCCAAAGTTACATGCAACTGCAAGAAGGATACGAATGGATTCAAGACGAGCAACTGGGGCAAAAGTCTCATCAAAATCTACCCCTTCCACCTGAGTGTACCCCTGGGAAACTAGTCTAGCCTTATTTCTAGTTATAGCATCTTGGTCATCAATTTTGTTCTTGAAAATCCACTTAGTACCTATCACATCAGAGTTATCAAGCCTAGGAACTAGATTCCAAACATTATTTCGAACGAATTGATTAAGCTCCTCATGCATGGCATTCACCTAGCATTCATCTCTAAGGGCTTCATCTACTTTCTTAGGTTCAATCTAGGATACATAGCTAGTATATGTTAGGTTATTTAGAACTCTCTTTCGTAACATCATTCCTTCATCCAAATCCCCAATGATGTTAACCTTAGGATGATTAGATTTGACCCTAAAAAATGGTTCTCTGGGAAGCTTAGACTAATCCCAATTTGGTAGACCCTGCTCAGATATGTTTTTTGAGGAGCGTGGAGATTTTGGGATTGATTGCTCTTTATTTTCAGCAATGTCTCCTTGATCTTCACTTAGATCTTCTATGTCAACGCCATTTTCAGCACTCTCCCCCTCAATAAAGGCATCATCAATAACAACATTTATAGATTCCAAGACACTCTGAGTACACAAGTTGTGAACTCGGTATGCTCTACTATTCTTAGAATATCCTAGAAAAATCCCATCATCACTTTTGGAATCAAACTTGTCTAGATTTTCTCTATCCCTCAGAATGTAACACTTGCTGCCAAACTCTCGAAAGTATTTAACAGTAGGCTTCTTGCCTTTCCAGATCTCATAGGGAGTCTTGTCTGATTTTGGTTTCAAGTATACCCTATTTATTATGTGGCACGCAGTGTTAATAGCTTCACCCTAGAAATGCATTGCTAGATCCTTGCCGTGAAGCATGGCCCTAGCCATTTCTTGAAGCACTCTATTCTTCCTCTCAACAACTCCATTTTGCTATGAAGTAATTGGTGAGGAGAACTAATGCTTAATCCCCTCTTCCAAGCAGAAGTTTTCTCAATCAAAGTTTTCAAATTCTTTTCCATGATCACTTCGAACCCTAGAAATAGGAAAATTTTGTTCAACTTTGAGTCTTTTGCATAAGGACTTAACCAGATCGCCTGTCTCAGATTTTTCTCTTAACAGATCAATCCAGGTGTATCCAAAAAAATCATCTACCACAACCAGGATATACCGTTTACCTCCTAGGCTCTCTACCCTAGATGGTCCCATTAAATCCATATGGAGAAGCTCTAGGGGTCTATTCATCAAGATTTTCGAGGTTCGCTTATGGTTTATCTTGAGTTGCTTTCCTTGTTGACGCGGCTTGCACACAACATTCTCACTTTGATCAATCTTAGGTAAACCATCGACAATCTTCTTTTTAACCAATTTAGACAGACTTCTGTAGTTAACATGACCGAGCCTTTGATGCCAAAGTTCAGACATTAGCACTACTGCATACATAGTTTGAGTTTGGAAGAACTCCATAATAATTATCAGATGTTCTAACACCTTCAAGAGCAACACCACAAGAAGCGTCATAAACAGTGCATCTCTTTTGGACAAAACTCACTTCATAGTCAGCATCACAGATTTGACTAATGCTCAATAAGTCGGACTTAAGGCCGTCTACATAAAGTACATTGGATATTGTAGGAAGTCCAACAATGGTGATGGAGCCTTTACCTCGGATGGGTGCTATAGCTCCGTCCCCAAAGGTAACTACACACCGTTGCAGTCATCAAAGGTAGAGGATAAGGCCTTGTTACCACACATGTGTCTAGAACATGCACTATCAAGATACCACATGCAAGTATTTTGTGCCTTATATGCAACATGAGCAAACAAAACATTTTAGATTCTCAGTATACTCACCCACATCAGATTTCTTTACCCAAACTTTTCTCGAGGCCGAGGTGATCCTAGTCAACCTTGTTACAATCTCAGTTAAGTGACTAATCTGATTTGAAAGGAAGTTCACTTGACTAGGGATATCCTGACTTTGATTTCTATTTGCTAACTTTCGACACCTAGGTCTCGTGTGGCCTAAGGCACCATAGTTATGACAAGTGGGTATGACTCTAGGTTCAAATGTATGTGAGTGTTGATTATGAAAATTAGGTGTAGAAATCTTATGAGCTCTAGCGGCCTTCAATCCATTAAAATTTTTGTCTTTGGATTCTGGATTTGTTGAAACATTAGATCTGTTGGAAGCGGGGACAAATGTGGTCTTTGATAAACTAGACACATTGCTATCACTCTTCACAAATCCTAGACCTTGCCTATTTCCAGCTGGTTTGTTCATTCCTAACAGATCGTCTAGTTTCTTAGTTCCACTCACAAATGATTGTAGTTGAGTGTTGGATTTCTCTAATTCACAGGTTAATATCTTGACCATGTCCTCTAATTTCTCATTGACACACTTCAACTCACTGAGATTCTTAGATGAGACTTGAAGATCATAGGTGATTTTCTCCTTCTCTCTCTCAAGCTTGTCTACCTTCTTAAATAGGGCTTTATTTACCTTTTTAATCTTGAGACTTTCCTTAAACAGAAGTTGATAAGCCTCATGTATATCTGCCTCAACCTCCAAATCATCACCGGACTTGTTACTCTCTACTTCCTCCTCAACCTTCTCACTCTCCTTGTCTGACTCGCTCTTGAAAGTAGATACAAAAGCCATATAGCCCTTTTCCTCCTCACTGCTTGAGGAATCACTTTGTTCACTTAAATTATAATCATCACCAGTCAAGGACACAGTTAATGCCTTCCTACTCCCCTTCTTTAGATTTTTCTTAAAGCTAAGACATTCATTTCTATAGTGCACAAATCCCTGACACTCATGGCACCTAACCCCTTGAGATTTCTTACCAGGGTTCCCAGCAGTTGATTTATCATCCTTCTCTCTTTGCAATTTACTAGGGGCTCCTCTCCTTTTCTCTTGAGGCCATTTTTTGCCCTTTAAGACTTTTTGAAATTTTTTCACAAAGTAGGCAATCTCCTCATCTCTAAGAGTTTTCATGTCAGATGACTCTGAGTCCCCTTCCCTAACAGTGTTCAGGGCTATGGACTTGTTTTTCCTCAGTTGTGAAATGGTGAGTTCATAGGTTTGAAAGGATCCTACAAGTTCTTCTATCTTAATTGTATTCAGATCTTTGTTTTCTTCAATAGCTGTAACTTTAGGTCTAAATCTCTTGGGCAAGATCTAAGAACCTTCCTCACAATTTTGGGCTCGAGAATCCTCTCACCTAGGTTGAAACTAGAGTTAACAATGTCATTCAATTTGGCATAGAACTCATCAAAAGATTCATCATCCTTCATCCTGATTTCTTCAAACCTTGAGGTTAGCATTTGCAATTTTGAATTTTTTACAGTTTTAGTTCCCTCATGCATAGTCTCTAGAATGTCTCATACCTCTTTAACAGTTTCACACATTGATAGTCTCCTAAATTCTTCGAAGGACACTGACATAAACAAGGCATGAAGTCCTTTGCTGTTCCAATTGCAATCAGCTAATTCTTCCTTAGTCCAAAGTGAAATATCAGTTAGATTGACAACACATGACACAGTTTTAGAAGGAGGTTTCCAACCATTTTGTACGCTCACCCAATCACGTTCATCTAAGGACTTAAGAAAAGTACGCGTCCTAACCTTCTAGTAGGCATAGTTGCTTCCGTCAAAATACGGAGACACAGACAATGATTGACTCATCTAGACAACAATGGGTCAGGACTCGAGTTTTAGCTCTGATACTACTTAAAATATCGTAGTTCGACCCAATCAACACCTGAAGGGGGGTAAAAAGGTGTTTATACGAAATTTTCTTTTTCAATCAATTAATAATTGCAACACGTCACAAAAATTAATTTGTCCAGATCAGTTCACATGCTTTACTATCCTATGTTTGAATTTCGATCATAAAATTAATTGCAAAAAGATAAATAACACAATTGTTTGATGACAGAGAAATCCCAATGTGGGTAAAACTTTGGGTCCAAGCCAGTAGGAATCCACTATAAACGAAAATGAAACTTACAATCAAACAAACTCAACCTACACTGGTTTTTCTGACATTCTAAACATAGTTTCCTCAAGGCCTTCTTGGAATGCATGATCTTGCACCAACTCCAGGCACCTAGCCCTCCTGGATTGCGTGCTACACCAATTGCTGGCTCTTGATTTTGTTTATCTCCAGTGGATTCAAGAGAACCGTCTGTTGTGTAATGATCGGGACTCTGATCTCCTTCCTCGATCTCCAAGAATCAACAAAAGCTCTAGAAGGTTGTGTTGTGGTGTTTGGTAAATGTTGATTTGATAATTTTCATTTAATTGCTTAAATCGAATATGGGGTTGAATGAGAGAATCAAAGTGTATAAGAGTTTTCTTCAATTTCAATACCTTGAGAGCACAACCACTAATCGGTGCGATTTTTCTCATATATGTGTATTTGGATATTTTTGGTCAAGTTGAAATGTCGAAAAAAAGAAAATAGGGTTTTATGGGTAACACTGTCGCTCGAGCGAAAAGCGAGCGACGTTGTTTCGCTCGAGCGAAGTGGGGACGAGAAGCAAGCGATGATCATTCTGTTTTTGTCGCTCGAGCGACCACTTGGCGAGCAGCTAGCGAAACTTCGACGACACATCTTGCCCTACTTCATAGCTCGAACCCTAGCACACTTTGCCAAAATTACAACTGAGTCCCTCATCTTTTACACATGTACACAATGACCCCTAACCTTTAACAATTGACAAATGGACCCCAAACTTTTGAGCATTTACAATTTTACCCTTTTGTTCACAAAATAGCCAATACAAAATCTAACAAAATAGTTTTAACTGTCTAGAGGAATAGGCAACAACCTTTCATGTTGCATCAACACACATCCCAAACCTTATTTAGGAGCATCACTGTATATAATAAGTCTCTCTAAACCTTCTGGTACTGTCAACACTTGCATTGAAACCAATCTTTGTTTTAATTCTTGAAAATTAATTTAACACTTATGTGACCATTAGAACTTTATTCCCTTTCTAGTCAATTATGTTAGTGGACCAACTATTTTAGAAAAAAATTCAATAAATCATCAATGTTGGCCAGGCCCAAGTAATTGCATTGTTCGGTCTAGACTAATTTGTTACAGTTTCAACTTTAGCTAGGTCTACTTCAATTCTTTGTGTAGTAACCACATGACCGAGAAGCCAATGCGATCTAGCAAAAATTTTCATTGAGTACAACTTCTCCTTTCAAAGAGTGTTCAATACCACTCTTAAATACTCTTCATATTGTTGTTTATCCCTTGAGTATACCAATATTTCATCGATGAAGACTATAACGAATTGATGTAGATATGGATTAAAAAAACTTGATTTATTAAATCCATAAGCACAGGTGGTGCATTAGTTAACCCAAATGGCATCACCATGAACTTATAGTGCCTATACCGCGCTCTAACGGCCATTTTAGGGATATCACAATCCTTTATCTTGAGTTTGTGATAACCTAATCTCAAATCTAATTTTTTGGAACACCTATGCAACCCTCAATTGATCAAAAAGATCATCTATCCTTAAGAGTGAGTATTTATTTTTTATGGTAAAATGATTAATATCTCAATAATCAATACACATTATCATTGACCTGTCTTTCTTATTAACAAACAATACTAGTGCCCCCCCCCATGAAGATACAATAAGTTGAATGAAACCCTTATTCAATAGTTCTTGTAGTTGTATCTTCAACTCCTGTAATTCTGTAAGGAGGCTTAGATATTGGTGTTACCCCATGCGTCAAGTCAATTGTGAACTCTACTTGTCAATCTAGTGATATACTAGGTAAATCTTTAGGAAAAATATCCACAAACTCCTTAATCACTAGTACATCTTCCATTTTTCGTTCGGATTAGGTTTACTAGTAATATTCAATAAAAATCCTTGATATGTATTCTTTTTCAACATCTTTTTCACTTTAATTACAACACTAATCGGGATAAGTCCCAATTCTTATTCCAAAGAATTGAAATTCTTCATCCCCAGTAGGAGTGAATGCGGTTCGATTTGGACGGTTTGTGCTATATTTTCAACTCAAAACATTTTATGCAGTTTAAATTTTTTTTCAAACCAAATCAAACCATTTTATTTTTCGAACCAAACCATAAATTGCGGTCTGGTTCGATTTTAATCTGCGATTTGTCTTTCTACATTATAGTAATGTATTTAACATATGTTAAATATAAGTTTAAACGAGAATTAATAATGTTAAATGTTAAATTATTTCATATTTACCATGAAACCCATGAATAAATTATTTTTAAAATTGGTTGCTAAAAGATTTTAATAGAACAAATACATATTCTTCACTTTTACCTTTTCTTGTTTGACATTCATATTGTTATATAGCGGTTGGTAAATGTAGAGTTACATTCTATTATTATAGCTTGGTTAAAACTCTTTTCGTTTTGCTGGTGAGATGTTAAATAAGGATTAAAGGTGATATGCTTAGATGTACAGAGATTTATAGAGTTTCGACTTATTGGGAATTGACAAATTTCATCCTCTAACTATTTTATGAAAGTAGAAGGTAGTAGTACTATTTAGAGAACTTTAACATTTTCACACAATCAATACGTTCTGTCCTTCGTTGTTTCCGAATAACAAACAAGTTCATTAATAATCTAAACACACAAACAATCATTTTTCTATCCAAACCACAACTTATAAGTATATAATAAGTTCAAAAAGAAAAAGAACAATGGAAAAATGGCTTGAATAAGAATATAAGACTCACTGAAAGAAAAGAGAGAAATAGGCGATTCAGATAGAAATTAGTAGACTAATAGGCAAAGCAACTGGCGATTCATTCAGTAGTAACTGATAAGCGTCAAATGTTAGGAAAATTGAGAGTTTATGTTATGGTTTCTGAAACTTTGAATGTGATTTGTTGACATAGTTTTGTAGAATTATGATTTGAATTGTTAAATATATATGCTTTTTTCTCATTTCATATGATTTTGGAATAATTTTAGTTTAGTTTAAAAATCGGGTAAGGACATGTCTTATGAACCTGTTAAATCATAGGTTAATAATGATGAACCTAATTTACTTTCTATGATTATTTCAATAGGTAGGTTATAATTTGTATTGTTAAATTGGTATTCTTTTTGAAAAGTGAAAACTGTAAAATTTTTAAGTTAATAAATATAGTTTTTTAATTAAACAATTTAAAAAATGGTTCAGTTAAATTTTGTATAGTTCTTGAAAATTAAAACCTATACCTAAACCAAACCATCTTGAAACGGTTTGGTTCAGTTTGAGGGAAAATAAACCACGAGTCCACGTGGACCCGAACCAATGATTTCAACTCAACATTTTCGATTCGGTTTGCAATTTTCCGATTTTTTTGTGTAGCCCTAATCCCCAAGTTTTTGAAATAGAACATCCTTCTCGTGGCATAAGAGTTATAAATTTACCTTTACTACTTTTCCTTCAATCTCTAACTTAATGTATGTAACCATTTGATTAGTATTAAAACTTCACTTGAAGGTACACTAACATCTAAAATGTTATTCATCTTTAAGCATTTAATCCCAATTTTATCGATTAAAATTGTAGAAATAAATGAATGCATGGATCCATAATCCATAAGGACAATTATAGGTATATCAAATATTGGTAACATATCGGTTATTACGTCTATGTTCTGATCCTCCTCTTCTCCTATTAAAGCAAACAATCTGGCATTTCCTTTCTTAAGTTGATCATATTCTCCCTTTTTTCCAAGCTTCTCTAAAGAAATGACCAATCTTACCACAAATGTAGCATACTCCCTTTCCCTGAAGGCAGTCATCCAAGTTGTTGCTTGTTGTACTTGGAACATTGAGGAAAAGTTTTATTTGAGTCTGACCAAATATTTCCTTTCTTATTTTGATCCCTACCTTTCTCTTTGTCGTAATCTTGCCACTTTCTCTTTATAGAAGACTCGGAACTAGGTAGGCTTTTCTTTTCCAATCTTAAACTATTAGAGATTCCTTGCACTCGACGTACAACTTCTGCAAAAGTAGTATATTGTTGGGCTATCATGATTCTCTGAATCTCTGACCTTAATCTCATTTCAAACTTTTTAGCCTTCATCTGCTCAGTGTTTACCATATGCAGAGCATATCTAGAAAGCCAGGGAAAAGGAGCTAATCATTGTACGGCGAGACTTTGTGAACAAAATCTGCATTCCAGGATAATCACTACTTGACAAGTTAATCAAATTTTATTTCATAATCCCCAAGTGGGAAATTTCATTGCATGAGTTGAAGAAATTCTAACTCCTTTTGATCTTTCAATGGTTGGGGGAGAATATTTACCCGTCAATGGCTCCTTGAACTGGTTCCAGGTAAGATTATGTTGTTTTTTCTGCAGCTCTAATACGCGTTTTAGTCTCCCACCAATGTCCAACATCAACAGTCAACATGAACTTCCCAAAAAAACCTTTTGAGCATCGTTGTAGTTTATGTGCTTGAAGATCCCTTCAAGTCTTCTCAGCCACTTATTAGTTGCGAAAAGATTATCTTTACCCTCAAAGAATGGGGGTTTAAAACAACAAAACTGCTCAACAGTTGAACTCATGGTGCTGTCACTTCATGTTGCGTTATGTAATACTCCTTGAGCTTGCTACCTGTCCAAATCTTGCTCTATCCTCAGTAAATCTCTAACCATAGACTCTTGATCTTATTGTCATCGTGCCACTTCCTTTAAATAAATAAAAAAAATTATCTTAAGAAATATTCAACCGTACTACACTTTTTCTAGAGGTCTCTCTACATATAGCCATGTCTATTGTGTATATTATGCTAAGTCCAAATCATTTTGCATTAAAGTTATAGTAACATGAGAATCGTATTCTAATCGTACCATCCTACATGAAATACTAATGTGCTTGATTAACGTACTTTTGAAATAAAATGATGTGTAAGGAAAAACTCATGAGATTATGTAATTAATTAGTATAAACGGAAATATGAAGGATAGTATCGATAAGATTTTGTTTGATTCCCATTTTTTTTTTTCAAATTACATTTTTCTTCATCTTCTTTTTAATCACATTTTTTCAATAAAATAATATTATAAGCAAATCCAAAACTTTTTCTTATTTATTAACCATACATTATCCATCAAATCACTAATTTGAAATGCATTGTTTGCAAAAAAAAAAACATCAATCAGACTTTAAATAAAAATATTATTAAGGAAAAACTCATGAGATTATGCAATTAATTAATACGAACGGAAATATAAATGATAATATTAATAAATAAAAATATTATTCTTCACTTCATACCTTAAAAATACTGGATATTGGCAAATTGATGAGCATTGGATTTCATGGATCATGTAACTTATTATTATATATAGAAATTTTGTAAAATATATTTTATTGGTATTAATGTTCCTAAAAACAGGGATTTTCTTAAAATTGAAGTAGGTTTGAAACATTGCTTTTTATCAGATTGATTTGTTCTTGTGCAACTAAAAAGGCGTGAGGAAAGAGGGTCACAAGTGGACTGCTTAAATTTCAAGTTCTCCCTAGAAAGTTTAGGTAGTTTTGACAAAGCCTTAGTTTAATAATATACAAATCAAGGACTAAATACACATTTTTTTTAATCAAAATTTGAAAAATCTTCAAGAAAGTAGACCTTTGCTCTGATACCAAACTGTAACGTCCCAAATTCTAACAACTCATTGCGTTGCCAAACATAAATTTATTAAATTGCTTAAAACTAATAATTTTAATAAAATGAGAAATTCAACAAAAAATGAAAACTTAATAAAAAAAATATTAAAATATGTTGAACGTTTTCGAATCATATCATGCATCAATATATTGATAAAAACTAGCGTTTAACACGGTATTGAAATGGGACTAACTGGAATAATAATGTTACTCATAATTGAGTATAAATCTAAATATAATAATCAAATGCTATTAAAAATTCTAATGTTCCTAAATATTAAAGTACTTCATGACGAGGATCCATTGGTCCAATAGCATATTCATCCTCCGCCGTCCAACATGCTAATTTTTTTACCTGAAATTTGTAAATAAAGAGGGGTAAGAATAATGAATTATACTCAATGAGAAGCTTGCTACTCTACATTCAAATAAAACATAAAGTTATGCATAAATTCTCTTACCAACATAAAATAAGAATATCACACTATGATAAATGATAATTCTAGCTAGCTCTACAAAATAACGTGAAGGCTAACTAATACGTGCAGGTGTGCCTTAAAATATATCATGGATTCTCTTGAACGAGTCCTGGACTAAAAGAATTCATACATAACAACGTATTTAAAAAGATGTGGAAAAACCATTAATAACAATTAGCACCTCATCTTTCGAAGATAAATGTGGAGAATGAAATTGTAGAAAACATGATTTTTTATTGCAAAATTCAAAGTCATAACAATGTAGATAGGGGGAGAGAGATAATGGCTAGTGAGTAATTTGTGGCAAACATATGTGTGTGACATTAGTATTTATCGGTAAACTTAGGGCAGTTTGATTAGGATTAGGATTGTATCATAACTAATTAGTTATTATCCTAGATTATGTAGATAATGACTGATTAATTAGTTAAATTGTATTACATGTCAAATACATATAATACTCGCATGACGTGTCGAAAGATGAATGGTTTTCTAAGTTAATTAATAATTAAATTCTAACTAAACCACAAACTGAAATCCTAGTTCAATTGAATAACTGTATGGTGATAAGCCTAATTAGTTTAAGATAAATATAAAATATTCATATCATCAACTTTTAAAACATCCTAGTCAAATTAAATAATCTTAATTGAATTTCTAATAATTAATATCATCATCCTAGTCAAATTG